AGTTGTTAATTCTTTCAAGTATTACCCATGCGATTTGATTTTTGTTCATGAACTCTTTGCATACCCCTATGTCTTCAAGAGTTTCTCCTACTTTCTCTTCCAGGAGATTTAGTGTTTCTGTTTTAGTGTTTAGATCTTTAATCCATTTTGACTGTAGTTTAGTGCATGGTGATAGACCTGGGTCAAGTTTTAGTTTTTGACACATAGAGAGCCATTCTTTCCAGCACCATTTGTTAAAGAGGCTATCTTTATTCCAGTAAGCACGTTTTGCCCCTTTGTCGAAGATAAGGTGGCTGAGTGTGTTTGTAGAGACCTCCGCATCTTCTAGTCTATTCCATTGTTCCTCAGGTCTATTTCTTTGCCAATGCCATGCTGACTTTATCACAGTAGCTTTGTAGTATAATTTCAAGTCAGGGATTATAATGCCTCCTGCCTTGTCTTTATTGCCCAGGATTGCCTTTGCTATTCTAGGTCTTTTCTGGTTCCAAATAAATTTTAGAAATGATTTCTCTAGCTCTGTGAGGTATGTTGGTGGTAGTTTTATAGGGATTGTATTAAATCTGTTCCATCTTCACGATGTTTTTCTTCCTATCCAGGAGCAAGGAATATTTTTCCATTTTCTGAAATCTTCTACAGTCTCTTTTTTCAGAGTGCTATAATTTTTCCGTGAAAAGATCTTTGTCTTCTTTAGTTAGATGAATTTCAAGGTATGTCATTTTCTCTGGTGCTATTGTGGAAGGTATTATTTCTCTAATTTCTCTCTCAGGGTGTTTGTTATCTGTATAAAGGAATGCTGTTGACTTTTGGATATTGACTTTATATCCTGCTATGCTACTGAATTTGTCTATCAATTCTAGTAGCTTCTTGGTGGAGTTTTTGTGTCTTCCAAGTAAAGTATCATGTCATCTGCAAATAATGATAATTTAACTTCTTTACCTATTCTTATTCCTTTTATTTCTCCCTCTTGTCTAATGGCTCTACCTAATGATTCCAGAACTATATTGAATAGGAGGGATGATAGAGGACATCCTTGTCTTGTACCAGATTTGAGTAAAAGATTTCAGTTTTTCCCCATTTAGAATGATATTAGCCATTGGGTTGTTATAGATGGCTTTTATCAAATTGAAGTAGAGGCTTTATATTCCAATTTTCTATAGGACTTTGAACATGAATGAGTGTTGGACTTTGTCAAAAGCCTTTTCTGCATCAATGGAGATGATCATGTGGTTTTTAGTTTTCACTCTATTGATATAATATATTGCATTTATAGATTTTTCAATATTGAACCAACCTTGCATCCCTGGGATGAATCCTACCTGGTCATGGTGTATGATCTTCTTGATGATTTGCTGTATTCTATTTGCTAGGATTTTACTGAGGATTTTTGCATCTATGTTCATGAGGGAGATTGGCCTGTAGTTCTCCTTTTTGTTGTGTCTTTCCTTGGTGTTGGTATCAGTATAATACTTGCCTCCAGGAATGATTTTGGGAGAAGTGTTTCCTTTTCAATTTCATTGAAGAGTTTGAGGAGTATAGGGATTATATCTTCTGTAAATTTCTTGTATAATTCAGCTGTGAATTCATCAGGACCTGGACTGTTCTTTGTCAGCAGGCTTTTTATTACATTTCATATTTCATTGACTGTTATTTGCTTATTGCAAGTTGTTATATCTTCATGATTCAGTTTTGGTAATTTTTACCTTTCTAGGAATCTGTCCATTTCTTCTGTGTCTTCTATTCTGTGAGAGTAAAGATTCTCAAAGTAGCTATTGATAATTTTCTGAATTTCTACTGGGTCTTGGTAATTATACCCTTTTCATTCCTTATTGCTTGGATTTGAATTTTTTCTTCCCTCTTTTTGATGAGGTTAGCTAGGGGCTTATCGATTTTATTTAATCTTTCAAAGAACCAGCTTTTTATTTGTTAATTCTTTGAACTATTTTCTTTATCTCCACTGAATGAATTTCTGCTCTAATCTTTATGATTTCTTCCCGTCTTTGGGCTCTGGGTTTGGTTTACTCTTTTTTTTCTAGTTGTTGGAGGTGCAGCATTAGGGTGTTTATTTGTTTCCATTCTGTTTTACCAATGTGTGAGTTCACAGCTATGAATTTCAATCTGAGAACTCCTTTCATCGCATCTCATAAATTCCGATAAGTTGTGGTTAAATTTTCATTGAATTGTAGATATTGTTGAATTTCTTGTTTAATTTCATCTGTGACCTATTGATTGCTGAGTAGGGTGTTTTTTAATTTCCATGTATTTAAGGGTTTTTTTTTCTGGTTTCTTTTGTCATTTATTTCCAGTTTCATTGCACTGTGGTCAGATAATATGCATGGGATAATTTTTGTTTTCTTGCATATACTTAAGGCATGACCTATGGACTAGTATGTGGTCTATTTTATAAAATGACCCATGTGCAGTTGAAAAAAATGTGTATTCAGCTGTGGTTGGGTAGAACACTCTGTATATGTCCACCACGTCCATTCCTTCCCAGCTCTGGTTCAGTTCTGCTACTTCTTTGCTTATTTTTTTTCTGGTTGACCTATCTTTTTGGGATAAGGGGGTGTTAAGGTCTCCTGTTGGGATTGTGGTATTGGACGTTAGAGTTTTCATGTTCACTAAGATTTGTCTTATATAGTTGGGTGCTCCCATGTTTGGTGCATAGATATTTATGAGTGTTACCTCTTCCTTTTGAATTTTTCCCCTATCTAGTATATAGTGGCCTTCTTTATTTCGTTTGATCATTCTACAGTCTCAACGTTTGAAGTTGAGATTGTCTGAGAACAAGATTGCTATCACTGCTTTTTGCTGAGGTGCTGGGGCATGTAGTATTTTCCATCCTTTGACCATCAGCCTATGAATTTCTTTATGAGTTTAGTTCTTTCTTGTGTATAGCATATTGTTGGATTTTGTTTTCTAATGTACTATGCCAGTCTATTTCTCTTAATTAGTGACTTGAGTCCATTTACATTGATGGTTATGGTTGGCGTGTGTTGACTTATGATTGACATGTTATTTACCTGCTGTTGTTTACTCCTTTTTCTCATCTGTTTAATTGTTTGCCCTATTTAGTGGGTTCCTTCTGTTCTTGTTCATGGAGTTCTGATCATTTTGGTCCCTCTCTAGAACATCTTTTAGTAGTCGGTGTAGGGGTGGCTTTCTCATCATGAAATTCTTTAGTTGTCCTTTGTCGTGGAAGTATTTCACTTCTCCATCAAACTTGAAAGAGACTTTTTCAGGGTATAGTAGTCTGGGCTGGAATTTGTTTTCATAGAGGACTTGAAGTACTCTGCTCCATGCTCTTGCATTCATGGTTTGTGAAGAGAAGTCTGCCACAATTCTGGTGGGTTTTCCTTTGAATGTGATCTGCTTCTTTTCTTTATTGGCTTTTGGTATATTATTCTTGTGCTGGATATCTGGGATCTTGACTATTATATGTCCTGGTGTATTTTTAATTGGGTTGAAGTTATTTGGCATTCTGTATGCTTCGGTTACCTGAATGTCAAATTGTTTCCTCATATTTCAGAAGCTTTCTGCTATTACTTCTGCCCACATTTTTTAATGTCATTTTTATTGATTCCTTCTTTCTCATTGATACCTATTAGTTTCACATTGTTCATCTTTGTATCATCTTGCAAGTGATTAATTATTTTTTTCCTGCATCACAGTTATTTTTAAGAGATCTTTTCTTACCTTTTCACTAGCTGCCACAGCATCTTCCAGATCTGAAACTCTGTCTTCACTTTCACTCAAACGGTTTTGCAGGCTTGTGATTGAGATTTTATGTTCCTCTATATCTCTTTGACTCTGCTTCCTGTGATTTGTTTCTTTCCTGTCTTGCTCATTCATGGAATCTGTCATTTTTCTAATCTCCTGTTTTTCTTATCAATGTCTTCTTTAGAAGCAGTTATTAATTCTTTTACTGCAGAGTTTTTTTCTGATTGGGTTTCCTCCCTATGTTTCTGTATTTGATTGTTTACGTCAGATGCTATGAATTCAGAGATCTTTTTTTATTTCAGAAATTAGTTCTGCTCTGAGTTCCTCTATACATTTCTGCTGTTGCTTATTTACTTCCAACACTATTAATTCGTACTTTACAGCTGAGCTAGTGTCCTCTGCACTTGTTCTGGGTGGGCATTGGGTTTCCTCCATATGTTTCTGATGCTATGAATTCAGAGATTTCTTTTTTCTGTTCCAGAAATTAATTCTGCTCTGAGTTCCTCTATACCTTTCTGTTGTTGTTTCTTTACTTCTGGTGCTATTAATTCATACATTTCAGCTGAGCTAGTGTCCTCTGCCCTTGTTCTGGGTGGGCTTGAGGTCTGAGATTGTGTTTTGCTCCTTCTCTTTGTCATTTTGTATAGCACTGATGTCTGACCTTTGGTGTAGAGCTCTGGTGCCGTTATAACCTTAGCACCTAATGAAATTCGGGTGCAGATCTATTAAGTTTGAGTTTATCCAGTTATGCCTTGCTTGGGTCTAGCTGTTGTGTTCAGCTCCTTCCTGCTGCAGCCCTTGGACATGAACTTGTTTTGCCTCTCTGGCCCAACAGTGGACCTGTGGTGCTCCTCTGTTGTGCTCCTGGCCCAGGGGGCACAGGGGAGCACAGAAGCTCTCCCACACACTCACTGGGCCTGAGCTTGGGCTGGATGTGAGGGGTGGAGGTTTTCCAAGAGAGGGAGAGAGCTGGGTGGAAAGGGTCCTGAGAATGCTGTGGAAGGACTTACTCAGGGGCTCGCCTGGGCTTGATCAGGGGAGATCCAACCAGCGCAGGGGAGCACAGGAGCTCACCTCCACACTCGCCAGGCTTGAGCTTGAGCTGGATGGGAGGGGTGGAGTGATCCTCTGTAACTTCTCTGTTAAATATAGTTTTCATCAGTTTTATGCAGAACGCATGTCTTGGAATCTATGCAGAATGGGGAAGGGGTAGCCTTTTTGTTCTTTGTTGATAATGCACATCAGGTTACATATTTACCTTGAGATTTTGTTTCCTTTTGTAGTTTCCTAACAAAATTGTGGCTCAGGTAGCATGTGATATTCTTCAGTTGCTGGTCTCCTACTGGGAAAAACTTCAGATGTTTGAAAGTGCCCTGCCTCGGAAAATGGCAGAAGTAAGTCCTTTCCCCGTGACGCTAACACTTGCACTTCTCCTGTATAGCATCCTGATGTCAAAATAATTAGAGACCCCTAGATGATTGCTAGTGAAAAGTGTACATGTCTGTGAGTCCCATCTGGACTTCTCTCAGCTGTAATTCTAGGCACAGAGTAAAGAAGCCAATGGTTTTCCAGGGTAGGGGCTGATAGTCTGTTAGAAAGGAGGAATGCCCACAACAAAGAGGCCTTTTATAGACTGGGTTTCATTCACTGAGAGTAATTTGGATGGTGCCAGCAAGGCATGGGCAGCTGGTTATGATGCCCTCTATGCAGGGTGGAGGGGCGGCGGCTGCTGTGAAAGCAGGAGTCTTCCCAGACTGAAGCCCTGGACCGCACTTCCATAGCAGGGTCCTGACTGTAATGAGACAACTGCCGCACCACCTATACGGTGGGGGGGGGGGGCCCACAGGAGGTGCAGAATCACCTTATCCACAGCATGTTGGGGTTCTGTTCCACCCAAGGGGCTTTCCTACGTCCCAAGCTGGCATCCTCAGCCACAGTGCCTGGTTGTCATGTGTATCCTTTCCTGCCCGTCTTTATAGCTGTGCTTTTTTAAAAAATGCCTGTCCTTTACACAGCCACTGGTGACTCTGAGGAAATTTGATTTGTCCCCCTAAGTAATCACAAGGAGCAAGAAGGAATGTTGATTTATTTTCTCTTAGCTCTGCACAAAGTTCACTGGGAGATTATTTTGTTCCCTCCAAACATCAAAAATCACAGGTGACTTTTTTTTTTTTTACTTTAAGTGACCTAGATTGCAGTAGCGCTTTAGAAGTGGGAATACAACATGCCGTGGAACGTAAAGCTGGCTTAGGGTTGTCGGAATAGGCAATCTTTTGAAAATGAGAGGATGCTGTTGTGCAAGGCAGCAGGCAGAGCCTTCAGGTATATAAGATGAGACCACAGCATTCTCATGAGTCTTTTCATTGTCTTTAGACAACACTGGGAAGTGAGGGGATTGATTGTGGAATAGATGGCTGAAAGAAACTTATATTCCTGGGGGCCCTGAGTTCCCCAGCAGCAGAGCAGGCAGAAGCCAGGCAGGGCTGGAGTGCTTTCTGGGTCTCAAGACCACACGCACAGCTGTCTGCAGCTTTCACCTGCCTCTGGGGAGCTGGCACCAGGCTGGGGTTAGTTGCAAGACTGCCTTGGGATTCTTAGCATGTAGCTTCCAAACCAGTAGTCTGTTTGACTGGTGACTTGTCTTTTATGCAGATCCTTGTGGCCACAATTGCTTTTCTCTTACCGAGTGCAGAGTACTCCTCAGTAGAAGCAGACAAGAAGGTAGGTGGCACATTATTAACTTTTCCCCGAACTTGTTTAATGTAAGGCAGAGTGATAAATACAAGTATTTCTTGTGAAAGTCCTATTTACTTATTTACTTACCTACCTTGTGGGTGTTAGTATGTCGCCTCAGTATCCACGGTGTGCAGGAACAGTTCTCTTGTTGAGCATCCTAGGGACTCCAGTGTAAAGGCTGGCATGTTTCTCCCTCCAGTTCATCGTGTCCTTGCTCCTCTGTCTGCTGGACTGGTGCATGGCGCTGCCAGTGAATACCCTTCTGCACCCCGTGTCCACAGCAGTCCTGGATGATCAGCACCTGTCTCGGGCACCCTTGCTGGATTATATTTACAGGGTAAGTTTCCCCTTGGCCTTGGTCCTGGGCTGGGACCTGTGTGTCGGAAAACTACCAGAGCATGTTCTGTGCATTTGCTTCTTTTTCTGGGCCTTTTCAAAAAGGCTCTAGGGTGGATTACACATCTTTAAAAAATGGACAATTTAAGCAGCAAACACTGAACAGATACTGCTGTAGAAAAGCAGTTGTTCCCGAGTTAAAGATGTTGCATTCTTAGGTGACCATCTCCTAGCATCTCCAAACAACTCCTGTTTGGTCAGAATACCCCAATTTTCATGGAACATGAACTGTTTCTACTTAATTTTAAGATGAACTATTTATATTATAGAAATAGCCAGAAGATTAGCTTGTCAAATCCATTTATTAAAGGGGGGAAAAAGTATAATGGTTCTAGTAATCTCTTTGCCTTAAATAAATCTTAAAAAATAAATTGAGGACACTGACCTTGTGAAAAATAAGAATACTTCAAAAATCTATATTAAATTTATTTTTATTGAACCGTACTATAAAAAATCATGGGGTCATAAGTTATAATAATTTAAACTCCTGAACTATCTTGAAGTTCACCAGTGGAATCTACTCATTATGTGCCTTTGTTCCTCCACTAGGAGTGGCTTCTCCCTTGTCACCCTCTTGTCTTCCAACTCAGCCCTTCCTACTGGCGTCACCGTGGGTGGATGGAGGAGGGTTTGGGTGTGTACATATACACTGGTGACTTGAGAAGTTTTTCACTTTTGCTTAGAAAATACATTCATTGTCATTGATGTGAAAGAAGGAAGATAAACTTGCTAATAGCAAGAAGCTGTTTAAGCATGGCAGGGGCTCAGGGTTCTGAAACGCTCCTGCACAGGGGCCCCAGTGCCTGGCGCCATGGTGTTTGGACAGACCGTCTGGGGACAGGAGGCGGTGGCAGCCATGGTGTCTTCCCCATGTGTGTCCCCCAGGTACTGCACTGCTGTGTCTGTGGCTCGAGCACGTACACCCAGCAGAGTCACTACACGCTGACTCTGGCTGACTTGTCCTCTGTGGATTACGACCCCTTCCTGCCCCTGGCCAGTGTGAGGAGCTCTGAGCCAGTCCAGTGCCATTCCTCAGCAGACCTGGACAACCTGCTGACTGTGGAAGAGGGTGAGTGTTGGCCCGGACATAAGCCCCTGTGGTCAGGAAGGCGAAAGATTATAGCCTGTTGTCCATTCTTGCTGTGGTGTGTTTAAAAATCTAGTTGTTGATGTTGAAATCCTGGTGTCTAAAGTCCCCCTAATGAGAATTCTGCCTTCCCTCTTCCTTCTTTTCCTCCTTTTCTATTTTTCCCTCGCTTCTTTTCTTTCATCTTATCGAATCATCTTATTGAAGCCTGTGTACCTGACCTTGGAAGTCACACACGCTTTTTATCCTCAGTGAGCTTTGCATGTAGGGGGAAAGACAGAGACACCCTGAAAGGTTGTGGACCAGGAGCCTGTTGGGGCTTCCCACAAAGGACTCAGTCTAACCTTGGCAGGATGGGTGGGCTAGAAGGGAGCTTATGGAGTGGTCCAGACTCTGAGACCTGGGTGCAGAGAGGTGGGAATTTGTATGCTACCCTTTGAGATGGCTATGATTGTAGCTGAGTCTCTTTGGAGGCTCTCATGACTCAGGGGCTACTTGCTGTGTCTCTTTCTTAGCTACCCCACTTTCTAAGATTATAAGCAGCAGCTCTGGGTCTTAGAGTATGAGTGAGAATGCCTCTGTGTCTGCCTGGGTGATAAAATTGCACAAAAACAAACACATGGTAGACACATGAACACTGAATGACATTGATGGTTTGTGTCAGTGCTGACTTCCTGATTGTGATACTGGCTTATAGATAGGCAAATTACTAATACTGAAAAGAAGGGTATTTGCAATATCCCTGTATTCTTTTTTACCAGTATATATTGATCTTCAGTTGTCGCAAAATTAAAAGTTCTAAGAAATGTGGATGTAGAGCGCTTGGTCATCTATGAAAGTGTTATGTACTTTTTAAGTTAGAAATCTAGCTTCAAGTAGGGAACTTTTAGGGTAGAACCACCCTTCAGGGAAGAAGAATGAGGAAGCATCACCAGGGAAACAGAACCAAGGAAGTAAAAAGGGGCCCGGGGGAAGTCCTGGACCAGGGCAGGCTGTGCTCAGGTGGCACAGCAGGGCAGGTACCTCCAAGGCCAAGGAAGGTGAGGGCAGAACAGAAGGGAGTGATTTCATTTCCCAGCATATTTGGCCCTTGGTTTGGCTGGAATGCTCTGGGCAGAGTGGCTGGCCTGGCCTGATCACTGGAGCAGGTGCCCTGCATGATGAGACCTGAGAGCCTGGAGACAGACCCTGCCGTGTGGCCTTGGGTGCAGAGGGACGGGCCCCTGGGCTACACCCACCGGGGCAGGCACAGAGCACCAGGATGGTCTTGCAGAACTGTGGGGTGGAAGTGTGAGTAGGTAGGGAAGGGTGGAGTCAGAGTGAGGGAGAAAGGGAGGTCTGGAAGTCTGATAGCCCAGAGTTTAGCACTGTTTGTTTGATGGCCAGATTAAGTTTAAGGAACTTTTCCAGGGTGCACAGGTCAGAAATAACAGAGGTGGAATTGGAGCCTGAGACTTAGTGTGTAAGTTCCTGAAACAGGTTGTTTACTCAGAGATTTGGCTAGAGTGGATTAAAGGCTCCTGAGCTCTATGGGTTCTGGACTAAACATGGTACATTTCATACTGCCTACCTACCACTTAAAAAGACAATCAAATGTGATTATCCTTTGTGGAATTCCATTGCCTGTTAACTGCAGTATCTTCCCAAAATTTCTCCCATGCTTATATTTTTAATTAAAATCAGTCTTGATCCATTTATTTTGTTGTTTCCTATTTTACAATCCATGTCTTATAAGAAATTAATTTCTTCCTAAAGTGATGAGTGGACACCTACCCACAAGATTAGGTTCACCACTTACTGTGACTTAAATATAGCGAAAGAGCTGAGGAGACAGAGACAGTTCATCAGCATAAGCATCTGCCTGGCATGTGCAAGGTTCTGAGTTGGATTCCCAGTACCACGGGAAAAAAATAGCAAAAGACTCTCCCTTTACAAAACTGGAAAAGCCTGAAAATGAGCACTTAAAATTTTGGCACTGTTTTTCTTTCAAAATACACTATTCTTTGACTTGAATATTTATTCTCTGAGAAACCCACAGGATCTCATGTAGACATTCCTAATAGATTTCTTTAGTAAAGGATTTAACTGTCGTGTGTCAGGGAAGAGTGATTATTATTTTAAAACTATTCCTTTCTCTTTTCAATATTATAGGTTTTTATTAGATGCGTCATTGTGTCATAATTTATGACCTATCAATGTGTGTCTAGGTTAATTTCTTATTACAGAATTCAAAGTAATTGCACTTTAACTTGTCTGACAAAAAAGTTTTGAAATGCACCACTAAATTATCTAAGTTAAAAAGCCAGAAATTTGAAAGCGTCCTGGGATGCACAAATACTCTCACCAATTGACTCTGTCCTGTTAGGAATAAAGGGATACAAAAGGTGAGGACTTTTAGTCAAAATAAAATGTACTCCTGTTTTACACTCTGTGTTACACTTCATCATTCATTACAAAACTATTTCTAATCAGGTAGTATTTCTGACAAGTAATATTAGATTTTAATGATTCTTTCTTAGATCATTGCCTATTTACTGCTTTCAAATAAAGTTATGGTGAGAGACAGTCAGGGCATCAGCGCAGCAGGTGCCCTGTGCTGAGACTGTTGATCCTAAATCCTCATTGCTGGAAGAGGGAGGGGGATGCCAAAACACCAGAATGAAGGCATGGCCTAGGACCCTGCTTTTGCATTCCAACTGTAAATTTAGAAAAATTCCAGAAATTTAGAATATATTTTATAATAGTTTGTGGAAGTCATGAGCTTGTTTTCATTAATGGAGTCTAGACTTTCTCTTTATTTTTAGGGAACCCCTAGCAAGGGATTTAACTAAAGTGTGTCAGGGGAGAGTGATAATTATTTCAAAACTCTTTTGTACTCTTACTTTTTGATACTATAGGTTTTTATCAGATGTGTTGTTATGTCATGATTTATGATCTATCATTGTGTCTCTGGGTTATCTATTACAAAATTCAAGCACATTCATTAAAAACACACATTTGGCTTTAACTCAAATTGAAAGCACTACCTTTGTGAGTAAAAGCAGGAGGTAGTGTTTTTAATGGTTATTTTCTGCCTGACCTTAAGTGGACCATGATCACCAGAGCTTCATGCACCCCTGCCCTGCCTTTCCTAGGAAGCCATCCACACTAGAAACCCACAAGCTTCCAGCAGTATCATGCATGCCCTCTGGGGCGTTCATTGTTCTTAGCTTGAGCACTGAAGTCTGAGCATTCACTGTCTTATCTGTGTGGAATCATGCACACTTCTGCCAGAGCTGAGAGGAAGCATCTAATTTCAGAGACAACATAGGCAACCTGTCCATCAAGTCTTTTGATAGGAAACTGTCCATTATTGAGTGCAGGTTTCATGTTTATTAATACAGAAAAAATAACCTGAAATCCAAGAAAACTCAGGGTAATCTTGTTCTCTATAGTCTTTACCTAGTAGAATTTTTTAGATTCAGAATTTTATTATTCTTTTCTAGGACTTATACATCATAAAGTTGATGTGTTATAAATAAGTTGGATTTTTAATGTTTAAGGGGGAAAATGTTTAGCATGAAAAAATATATTTACAGTTTCTTATGTTTTAATGTTTGGTTTTACATATTTTCTAAAAAGCTAAGTGTTTCCTAAAACCTCAAGCTGACATGAGCATCTTAGTTTATTTAAATATGTAGTTTCTGGTTAAAATTAACAGTTTTATTTCACTTGTTCTTAGATTAATGCGTAAGGCATGTAATAAATTTGGATTGCTGAAGTTTCCCTAACTGCTCTGAAGTAGTCATTTCAATCTGTATTAATGAATTTTATTTATCTGCTTCTCTTTTATGCCTCATTTTATAAGGTTTTCTTTCTTATGTATAGTTGTCGAAGTCTTTGTATTCCTTTTAAGTATTGAAAATTTCATAGGTCAGTTGCTCTTGAGCATTTAATTCAGCTACAGATTTAGTTTAGGCTTTCTGTTTCCACATTTTATCAATATGACATACGCTCTTAAATATTTAAAATGCCCTAACAACAAAGCATAAATTATCAGGATTATTAAGCACATTGCTTCCAATCTATTTCAGCAGCCCTGAACCTGATTGATTCCCATATGAGGTCCTCCCTAGCCCCTGGACAAAAGCAAGGCCATCTCCTGCCCCCAAGTGAGGACAGTGTTCTCACCAGGCCTGCGTGAGCCCCCAACTCTTCAAGGACAGGAGGATCTCTTGTCTATTCTTGTGTCTACAGATTTTTAAATATCCCTTTCAAATGAGACCTTCAAGTTAGCAATACACTTAAACTTTCAAATTCAAATGGAGTTAGTATCAAAAAAAAAAAAAAAGATGAAAAAAATTCTCAGACTAAAAATTAAAAAAACGATCTGAAGTCCTATGCTTCTTCTATGCCCACAGAAAGGAAAAGGCGGAGCCTGGAGCTGATCCCACTCACTGCCCGCATGGTAATGGCCCACCTGGTCAACCACCTGGGCCACTACCCATTAGCTGGTGGCCCGGCCGTGCTGCACAGTCTGGTCAGTGAGAACCACGACAATGCCCATGCTGAGGGCACTGAGCTGTCCCCTGATGTGTTCCGAAGCCCAAACCTGCAGCTGTTCGTGTTTAATGACAGCACCCTCATCTCCTATCTACAGATGCCTGCAGAGGGGACCAGTGGCAGGTCTTCAGGGGGTGCTGTCTCGGATGTGCGAGTCATTGTGCGAGATGTCTCAGGGAAGTACTCCTGGGATGGGAAGGTGCTCTATGGACCCCAGGAGGGCTGCACAGCACCCAGTGGGCACAGCCCCAACTTTTGCATTCCCAGCTGCCCTATTCAGAATGTTGGGCCTCAGAAGAAAGATCTTCCTCAGACCGAGGAGGGAGATGATGCACTGGACAAGTTGCTTGAGAATGTTGGCCACACGAGCCCCGAGTGCCTCTTACCATCCCAGCTAAAGCTCAATGAGCCATCCCCACCCCCATGGGGAATGAACAGTGAGCAGGAGAAGGAAATCATCAATGCTATCCTGCGCCAGAGTGCACAAGAGGACGAGCATGTCCAGCAGTGTATCTTGGCCTCCACTCTGAAGGTCACTAGCCAAGGGCAGCCCTGCCCGGTGGAGCCCCGAGGACCCTTCTATTTCTGCAGGCTGCTTCTTGATGACTTGGGAATGAACTCTTGGGACAGAAGGTAACAGTCCATACTGGTCTCCAGTTATTTTATCCTTCTTTTTGCCTGATTGTAGTCTACAGACTAGAAATGGGGACTTTTATCTATTTATTTCAACATTTACAAGTTATTTCCATCTGCTAAATTAAAAGTATAGGTGAAGCTAATTATGCCGTCCTGGGCTGGGGAGATAGCTTGGCAATCTAAGTGTCTGCCTGACAAGTACAAGGTCCCTAGTTCAATCCCTAGTACCTTGTGCCGTGCAGGCCCCAAAACCCCAGGCACACCATGCTGGTCACTGAACCTGGCATGGTGGCACATGCCCGTAATCCCCGCACTGGGGAGACTGAGAAACGAGGATCACTATGCATAGCAAGAATTAATTAATTAATTAATTAAAAATAATAATTTTGCTGTCCTGGTGGAAATTGAATTGTAATACTTTTTGTGTACTTTAAAGAATATCAAGCCTTTTCTGTGTGTGCATTTTATCTGATTACTTATCTGTCCATTATTATTTTGACTTTCATGTAAGATGCATGCAAAAGGATGACAGAGTGAATTAGTCACAGTTTAACCTGAGATCTTGTGAGGGAGGTGGACATGGCCTAGACAGGCATGCCCAAATTCAGGGGGAGCAGTGAAGTTCTGCAGCCTGCAAGGCATCAAGACTCCACGGCAATCCACTGCTAGCCAGAGCTCTGGATGGCTCTGTGGCCAGTGAGTGTGTGCCTGTGTTCATGTGTTTGCACCTCTGGTTCCTCTGTTAGCTCTGCTGCAGTTCCCTATTCCCTCTGCCTTACTATCAATTCTTCTGCCAGGTTTTATTCCTTCCCTGGCCTTACCATTTGATGGAGCTGCTACCCCTGAATTCCTACACCCCTGTCTGGGTCATGTCCACCTCCCTCATAAGACCCCAGGTTAAACTGGCTAATTCACTCTGTCATACCTTCAGTAGATGAGGTCATTGGATGGATAATGAGTAGGTTTGGAAAGCAACAGAATTGATCTGTGATCATATGGCTTTTTTTTTCAACCCATTTTTTTTCTAGGAAGAATTTCCATCTTTTGAAGAAAAACTCAAAATTATTGAGAGAGCTAAAAAATCTGGACTCCCGTCAGTGGTATGTGAAAGTACATCAAACTACTTTTGTCCTGCTGTCCACCTGTGCATTCGGAGGCCAGATACAGCTGCAGGGAAGAGCACACCTGCAGAGACTCAAGGGTGATTCCAGACCTAGAATCTGGTGTTTTTACTCTGAAGGACTAGTGCGTGTTTGGTACCGTAAACACTTGGGGCTCCCCAGAACCCAGACTTGTGGTTGAACACCTTTCTGAATGGCAGCCAGTGGGTATTGCTCCTCCTCTACTCTCTGCAGCCCCCTCTTTCTGACGAAACCACAGTGGCATTATTTGAAGCCCAATGAGACCACCTTTATAGTCCAGTCTGGGTGCCATGTGTCAGCATTCTGCAGTCCTGCTTAGAACATTGGCGAGGCTGAGACCAGCATGCAGTGATTAACAGCCCTCCACTAATCAGCCTCATGCTCCAGAACTGTCAATCTCAGGTTCGCCCTTTCCTCCATGGCACAGGACATTCCTAAAATTGTGCTCACAGCACAGACAAGTTCATGATTTGGGAAGATGCAGGTTTCCAGAGCCAGCCAAGTGAAGAATAAGGATAGGCCCAGTACATCACAGATCCTCAAAATTCTAAAAAGGAAAAAACTACTTCCATAATATTTAGTTTATAAAAAACAAACAAAAAACAAAAACACCACTTTTTAAAATGTAGCCTTGTTCCTCTTTATTTGCCTTAGGAAGATCCAAACATTACTACGGCCTAACCCCCAGAAAAGAAAATTTTCAGTCTCTTTTCCTCAAACCTATATAAAATACTATTCCTACTATATTTTATTTGCTACATGTTTTTTAATCCTTTATTGTTGTTGCTGCTGAGTTTTGTAATTCTTTATGTAAGCAAGACTGGCCTTGAGGTCAGTGATCCTCCTATCTCAGCCTCTCCATTGCTAAGATTACAGGTATGCACCACCACACCTAGCTCTTATTCCTTACTTAACTCTGTTATTTAAAAATATATTGGAGCTTTATGTTTTTAAAGAGTTGTAGGGAAGCAAGAAGAAAAGGGAACAGTTTTAGCATGACCATTCCTAACTTGGGATTTGGGGTGTTACTAGAACTCATGACTTCATTCACCTCCACGCACTGTCCAGCTTCCATTTTAAAACACCAGCTTCTCCTGGAGGCATGTACAGGAATGAGTTATGACCCCTGAGCAAATATTGTCACTGTCATCTGGGTTTAGGCTGTCTTCTGGATTAGATTGTTTATTTTAGCATTCTGATCAAAACTCAGTGGCACATTCCTAAATTTCATTTTCAAAAATATTTTTGATTCGTGTTACTATTGTTGGTGTATCAGACTTACTGCTGTGATTCTTCCTTGGTGGTTTAGATTCTTAACTGAATATAAATGCACTACCTAGGAAATCCTAGCTATCGTTTTCTTTTAAGGCCCTGAGGCCAACTGTCCTGTTCAGGGGTGGAGAGCTTGCTAACCATTGAAAGGCCCTGGCTTCTATCTCCAGCAGAGTAGCTAACCCACCAAAAAAATATAAATTATACTTTTCTAAAAGATAACTTTTTTTTTTAAGATAGACTTTTGTCATGTCATTGAGGGCCAAACAGATAAAATATGAAATCATATTAAGCTTTCTTGTGGCTCCATGTCCTTTGCTCCTTCAGAAGCATCTAGAATAATGACACCTACCTTAACTGTCCTCTGTCTATCTCAGGGTTATACATAGGTTCCCTTCATTTCTTTCTCTTTTGCCATGTCTCTTGGTCACTCTTCTGCCTTCCCATCCCTCAGGAGGCCGGAGCTCCTACAGCCACACGCACACCAAGGCTGCACTGGTTGTGTGCGCTGAGTCTTGGGCAAGTTCCAGCATGGCAGTTGGGGCCTCATTCCCTCTGGAGATGCTGGTGAAGACCATTGCTTCAAGTGGCTGTACTGCTCTCTGGGGAGTGACAAACAATTTAGTATCAAGCAATACACAAAGCTGGGCCGGAGAGATAGCAGTGGCATAAGTGCTTGCCTGGCAAGCGCAGGATCCTGAGTTTGATCCCTGGTGCCAAAAAAACAAAGAAATACACAAAGCTGAAAAGACTCAGGGTAGCTGAACCTGGGGAAAGGAACTGTCCTCAGCCCTGAACCCTGTAGCTTGGTGGCCATCTCAGATGTCTTGTTTCCTGATTCATCAAATGAAACAATGAAAGATATGAGGCTAGCGAGATGAAACCCCTGAAGCTGTTCCCCACAGTGCCCTTTCTCAGATTCAGGTACCTGCCTCACATGCTTTTTCTCCTCCAGAGACTGAGTTCTCTGGGAATTCCTGGACGGATTTCTTGTGAATAATGACTCAGAGATTCACCCCCTTTCCCTTCTTGTCCTTCAGTGTTCAACTAGCAGTCATTTGGGTTCCAAACTCAGATTTTTCCAGCATAGGCAGAATCATTCCCTGCTTCTCAGTGCTTAGTGAATACATTGCCTTCATAATTGTGGTCAATTTGTTGAGTGTTAATGCACTTTAGTTGCATGAGGTGCAATTGAATTAGCTCCCTGGGGTGCTGTTGCAGTAAAAAAAAAAAAAAAAGAACTCTGGGTTGCTGATTGGCAATCTTCTGCCCTTTGATTAACCTTCATTTAAATGCCAAACACCTACATTTAATGTCTTCTTAACATCTACTTTTATATCATTTTATTTTATGCTAAAGGATATTTTCAGGCTGTTTTGGGGTGGGGGGGAAGGAACTAAGTCTGGGACTCTTCAGCCATGAGGAAGCTAAACTGACCTGCAGATTGGCCAGATAGTATATAGAACACTTCTGGTCCCTCAGCCTTCAGTTAGGACATTTGTTTTTCTTTCTGGTATCAATGTACAGCACTCTTGTAAAAACATAGCTCCTTCTGGACATGTCTTTAGGAAAGTTGGAGACTGTCTTGCGACTGCCAACTCTGAAGTTAGCAAAAAGGCAAAGATAACAGTGTGGTGGATTGATATACAATCACAAGGGGTCCCTTTAAATGTGGGCACTTTATTGCCATCCTGGGGAAGGCTGGTGTGGAAATCACAGCTTCTTTGTTTGACTCTTTCATGTGACAGCACAAGAAAACAGCTCTTCTGGTCCATTCCTAGTTGGAGACAGAAATGCATCCTAATGCGAAAGGGAAATTGTTGGTTTCACTTCCATATTCCTGAATTACCTGCCCTCCTCCTTGCACTGATAGTGCAGCATAGGGATCTGAAGCGCTGTTGATGCTGCAATTACCATTTCAAAGCCTGGCTCTAATAGGGCCAGACACCGTGTCTGCTTCCTAGCAGGCTCTGTGCAGTGCTAACATTTTGGAGGATGTGAAATGTGCTGACCATGACAAGGAAAGATCACCTTTAGTTCATAGCCATTGCTGGGCCTCAGCACTGCACCTCCAGGTTGAGTTAATGAGGTCTTGATAACCATGAGCAGCTATGACAGAAAAAGCCTCAACTCTAAGGAGAATCTCTGACCAACCCAAGGCTGTTTTTATATATGTAATGTCTAGAAAACAGAGAAAAGTTAAATGCTGAGGACTTTTCAGTCTGAAGAGAAGGCTGCAGGAGCAAATTGACTAGCTATACTTTTTTCTCCTTTTGTTAAGACAGCCTTCTAGGGCAAAGGTCAGAAGAGCTGATATCATTGAGCACCAGTTATAGTTCCTGAGACTGGGTGAGCTGGTCAGATTCAGGGAACCTCTTAGTACAGCAGTTCCACGATTCCCCACTCCATGAGGACAAGCTGTCTGTCTGTCTGTGAGCATAAGGCCTATACTACAACATTGTACACACACACACATATTCTAGAATCCATCACCGCAAAACCTTCCTTCATGGCAGTACCTGCCCCCACCAAGGGAGACACCCATAGGTGGGATAGCACAGTGGGTATCAAAGTCTTAGAAATGCCAGGGACCAAGCATTTCTCTCTCTGAATTGAAGGACATTAGAAAATCCAAAGATTATAAAGATTAAGGGTTATCATTAGAGACGGATAATATGAAAATATCTTAAAATGAAAGCAACTAGGTGACAACTTGGAATGCAATTTATAAATAATATGTAATCTTGTACAACTACAAATAATTATTATGGAAGCACATACTATAAAAGTGTTCACATTCAAAAATAACTTAAAATGGTGAATTTCACCTGCTATATCTTTTTTTTTTTTTTAAAGTACTCACAAATACTTTAGGTATAAGATTGTGTAACAGAATGTAATGTTCTTCATATTTCATATTTGCAAGCATAAATGTATCCTAAGTTGCAGTTTTATTTTTTATATATTCATATTGCAAGTGTCTTGCATTTTCCTTTGAGATATAAATTTACTTTGTACGCCAGGCTGCCTTGCACTAACTCGTGATCTTCCTACCTCAGCCTCCTGAGTGCTGGGATCACAAGTGTGTACTGCTACACCCAGCTGCAATTGCTTGTTGTTTTTCTTTTTATTCCTCTCTTTACTTTCTATATTTTAAAATTTTTGTTCCAAGTATATTATTATGTGAAAACTATGTGAGAAGTGAATGGCTACTTAAATGAATAGAATAAGAGAACCCTCCTCCAGTTATTTATATGTAACTTTTTAGTTATACTTCATTTAGTCCTGCTTATTAGGTAGAAGAATAACTAACCCACACAAAAGGAAATATTAGAAAATTTGTTAAAATATGCAGCCATTTCTACCTGTATCGAAGTCTAATCAGATTACAATGTGGAGATACTGTATTAGACAACAAAAACATTTTTGTGTTGTTAAACACTTGATAGATTTTTGTGAGATTTTTCAGAATGCACTGCAAAGAAGAATGGAACTGCTCTGGAAGTAGTACTCTAATTTTTCAAAGTAGGAGACTATAGCAAAACTCATGAGTAGACTGGGTGTGGTGGTGCATGCCTGTAATCCCAGTGCTGGGGAGACTGAAAAGAGGAGGATCACTGCGAGTCTGAACTGCACAGTGACACCCTACACCAAACACATTTTTTAAAAAAAGCTCATGGGTAATGGGGCATGGAGTCAGTGACTCTTTTTTTTTTTTTTTTTTTTTTTTTTTTGTGGTACCAGGGATTGAACTCAGGACCCGGCGCTTGCCAGGCAAGCACTTATTCTACTGAGCTATTTCCCTGGTCTGAGTAGGTGACTCTTAACTAAATTGTTGTTGGAATAAAAACTGTTTTCATCTCAAAACTATGCACAAATTCCTTCATAGTTATCTGGGCATGTTCCTCCACAGTGTAACTTGTAGAAGCTGGTTATTAAGACATCCCAGAAGACCATCATATACTAGTTGTTTTAACACAGGTTAGCTCAGCCCCTAGTGGCCACCAAATCGTATGCTAGATGTATGAAAACTAAAAAGACAGGGTTTCTTTTTTCAAAGTCTAGATCATCTTGATTTGACAGTAATTGCCCCAAATACATCATGAACCAAGCAGATAAATGGTTTAGATGGCCAAAAGAGGTTTCCTCAGTTCGGCCCAGCAGACCAGAACTCTCAGAGGGTCAGAGTGTAGGGTCTACGTACTCTTCTGCCTGTGTCTGTGAGATCACCCAAGTGTGTCTGCTTGAAAGAAGTTTCTTTTTCTCATAAAACCTTGATGTAGCATGCAGTGGCAGTCATGGAGCTACCTGGTAGCTTTATCTTAAAGTATAGATGGTGAAATGTGGGTAGTCACATCAGTCTACTCACCATCAGTAGCTATTTGAAATTCTTTTCATTTTTTATTTATTAATTTTTCATGTATTTGATATAGGGTTTCACTACACAGCTTGGACTTGTAGTGATCCTCCTATTTTCAGCCTCCCTAGACTGGGACTATAAAGGTACACCACACCGTCCAGTCTCAGTGGCTGACTCAGTGGGCCCTGGGGCAGGGCCAGTGTGATTTGTGGTGCCAGGGATTAACACCTGGTCCCTGTGCTTGCCTAAGCAGGCACTTAGTCTCCTGAGCTATCTCTCTGGCCCTTCTGTTTGAAATTCTCTAAAAGGTGTTATTCTTTGCCCCTAAAAAGGAGAGAAATTGCCAAATGCTACCTGTTGCCATTTAATGTGTCTTGTACCTGAACATGGAATCTTAGGAACCAGAGCATCTTGTTCCCAGTTTCCTGCTTGCTTTGTGTACTTTTTGTTCAACTTTCTGTGTCTCTTTGAACCATATCTGTAAGGTAGGTGATGAGAGTGCTTATGTCCTTAGAGCAGCTGCAGAGTGTGATTGTATGGATTGTATGTCCGTGCATCTTAGGACAGTGAGTGACTCCTAGGAAATTCTCAATCAGGATTTCAACAGAAGAAGAATCATAGTGGTGGCAGCAACAAAATAAAACTTTACACATGAGAATTCTAACTTACTTAAATTTAATTCACAGTCGTGAGACACACAAAATTGCAGTGTTTTACATTGCTGAAGGCCAGGAAGATAAGTGTTCAATCCTCTCCAACGAAAGAGGAAGCCAAGCTTATGAAGACTTTGTTGCTGGTCTTGGATGGGAGGTAATTTCATCAGTAGTTTTATTGACCATTACATTTTAAATTATGTATGAAAAAAGAGCTGTATATGAACTGTTCTTATGTGTGACTTTACATTCAAAGACAGCAGGAGAGCAGGAACTAAAGAACATTTCGAACTTCCAGAGCTGCATAGTCAGATGAACTGTCCTAGCTACTATACGCAGTTTGTAGGAAGAGACAGAAAATGTGAACAGAGATGCCACGGACTTGGGCATAGTATGGGAGTGGAGAACAATGGCTCCATAGATGAGAGGTGAAGAAAGAGTTGGATAAAGTCAAAAACTGGAGTGAAACAGGAGTGTAGTAGCCATGAAGGTCACCTATCAACCTGTTCACCTAACATAGATCCCAAGGATGACTGATACTGAAACTTTTAGTATTTTCCTGATTGATACTCACACACACACACATGAACAGATGTGTGTCTGCCTTCTAGGAACAGGAGTCTAAAGAAAATATCTCTCCAGCATTTGAAAGTAATTTGAACATGGAAATAATCTGAAAATGGAAATCAAAATACCTAAAATTATTTTCTAACTCTTCAAACATTTTCTTTTGTTTTGGTTTTCCAGTTATGTGTGCTAAGGAAAAATTCCAGGGTGCATAATGCAGCTTGCTTCTCCTGGCTCAACCTGCTGGAAAGATGGGGGCAGAGTGAGGCCTCCACAAGGGCAGGACCATGTCCTTTCTGAAACATTTGTTGTGCTCTAGCCCAAGACCTATTGTCCCTACAAAAAACTATTGTTCTTCTTGCTAATAAGGATGCTTATTTGTCATAGAATATATTCAACACATTACTCAAACATATATTCTCAACCAAAGTTTTAAGAAAAGACTAGAACATTGATTTGAAGTATTCTTGGCATGAAATAGACTTTTCTGTTTTTTTATTTCATATTAGAACAGGTACTTTACTGAAAGAATAAAACTTTATAGTGAGTTGAAAGTTTTGGAGTAAGCCATTAAGAAATGAGCATTCACACCATAACTCTAAATTAGTTCTGACTCATAGATTTTTGGCAGTGCTGTAAAACTGGAGCAACCTTTTCAAAGGCACTTCAGCACTGACTGCTAAACTGTGTGACATCGGTACCCTGATCCGGCCTCTTAGACCAACACTCTGCCCAGTGTTCCTTCTGGCCTGAGAGAGTAGAATCCCAAAGATCCAGCAGTGGGGAGCCATGGGTATGCGTGCTTCCCATACACCAACCCTGGGGAGACAGAGGGCTTGCTGCTGCCTTGGCCAGCCATGGAGTGCTTTCTCTAAAGCACCTCCATAGAGCTTTTATCACAGTGGACTATTAACATTGCTGTGTTGTTACTTGTTGAACTCTTGCGGTGCTAATAATTTAGAAATGAAACTTCGTCATGTATGTACTAGAAAAAATAGTGTATGCATGTATGATTTGGTAGCTTGGTACTGCTTGTGGTTTCAGGCATCCCCTGGAGGGCTTGGGACACATACCCTCCCAATGGGGTGAAGTTGGATAAACACACAGCAAAACTGGGGAAGGAGGTTGTTTTCTTTGTAAAGAGCTGGGGATCTCGGGTCCTTGTGCTGTACACTAGGCAAATGCTTTACCACTGAACTGCAATCCCAGCACTTAAATTTTTCTAGTGATTTTCTTCAGGAGGTAGAAGTACAGAACAATTTTGTTTTTAATGTTCACATCTTTAATATTTTAATCATGTCTGACCTTGTATTATATTTGTGACCAGAAGGAAAGCTATGGAAGTGAAAATAGCTCGCATTGTTAAATCCCCATTCCTGCCTTTGAGGAGCTGCAGCTCATGTCTGACCCTGTCCCTCCATGTGGTCTCCCCAGGTGGATCTCTCCACCCACTGTGGCTTCATGGGCGGCCTGCAGCGCAACGGCAGCACTGGACAGACTGCCCCTTACTATGCTACCTCTACTGTGGAAGTAATTTTCCACGTTTCCACTCGGATGCCATCAGATTCAGATGATTCTCTCACCAAAAAGGTACAAAGCTTCCCTCCCTAGGGGCTGTCCTTGAAATGCATAAAGACCTAATCACTGTCCTCAGGACTCAATGACCCTGTGGCTTTTCCTAACCAGCTTGGCACAATCTTCAGGCCTGAGATGGAGGGTTGGGGAAATAAAGGGCCTTACATGTTGCTCCTTTGAGGTCTACATTAGTATCCCCAGACAGTAATGTCATTTACCTTATAGGTTGGCAAAGGTCACAGGGAATGACTTTGTGGCAGAAGTACTGGGGGCTCTGGGAAGGCAGCACCCTGCCCCCCTTAGCCCAGCCCGCAGGGCAAGTTAGAAGCAGAGGCCAAATGACAAACACTGTCACCCCACCACATCACTTTTATCGCTCACCTTCCACTCTCCCTCTGGGGACATTGTTCTGAGGAACATGGCCCTGTCCCTGCTCTCCTGCAGGACACCATCTCAAGAGACCCTCTGTTAGGCATTGAGGACCACCTTCTTAGAAAAAAGAAGTTAGTCCAGTAAGGAGCCAAAGCTGAAGCCCAGAGTACCTGTGCCAAGCACAGAGCCTAGAGACACAAAAAGCCTAGAGCCACAAGGAGCAAGGACAGACCTCAGGATCTAACTAGGTCTGACCGCAAGGAAATGTGATGGCATGGGCAGATCCAAGACTCAGACGCTTTGGACCCAAGTCAAGTGTGTGTCCAGTCCTTGCACCAGTTTGTGTCTCAGTTTCTTACCTATTGACTCGAATTAAAAATAGTTACTAAGTGAAGTGAATAAGATGATGCCTACAAGATGCCTCACACACTGCCCAGGAAGCTCTCCCTGATCCCAACCCTGGTCTCTGCCCATTGCTCTAGTTGGTTCTTTCTGCCTTGACCTGCAGTCAGATGATTGGCACTAGCACAAGGATCGCACTGTACCTGCTTCATTTGTCTTCTTGGTGGGACAACAGAACCTGAGTCTCAGTCCAGTCACAAACAGCCAGCATAGCGGTCAGCTATCTCCAGTGTACAAAGCAAACAAGCACTCTGTACACCTTTCATCCAAGCACTATATGCTATAGTGGCCTCAAACCGGGCACTGCCTTGAGCTAGTGCCCAGGAGTCCTGGGGAGGGGACCCTATCTTCCAGGGCCTTCCTCAAAGCTTAGTCTACTGCAGCTTCCAGAGACCCTAAGCCAGTGGTGGTGAGCCTATGGCATGCGTGTCATTCTATCTTGCTTTTAAAACAAAATATCGTAATGTAGAGCTGTTTTTTCTTTTTCGAAACTAAAAAAACTCAGTATTCAGATTTAATTACAGTGTTGGCACTTTTCGATAAGCAAGTGGGTTTTGGATTGCAGTTTGGCACTTAGTCTCTAAAAGGTTTACCCTCACTACCCTAAGCCCAGGTCCTGCGTTTATTTTTAATTTGATGAACCTTGTAAATTGTTGCTGTTCCCCGAATATGTCACCATATTCTGATTTTTTTAAGACAGAACTGCTTTATTAAAAGATAGATCAACATATCAATTTCTTTAAAAGTATTTCTTAAGAAAAACAGATTATTGTGGGTTTTTTTGGTTGTTTTGTTTTCTTGAGAAAACCCAAACTATTTTCTTGACAAAATGTCATCCTATAAATAATGTTCTAAGGCTCAGCCGGGTCGAAAGATTCCCTACTGTAGTAATCAAAATTCAGCTGATACCTTTTGCAGTGCTAAGATTTAGCATCATTAGCGATAAACTCTCTTTATCAGGATGTCTCACAGCTAGACTAAAAATCAGTCGCAGCAACAGCAGCCCACAGTTCCTCATCTTATTCTAACTAAATTGTCCCTAACAGCTTAAAAATGAGCTACAAGATTCTAAAGTGATTCACGCTCCCTCTGCCCCTGTCATGGGGGGACTTTTTCAGTTCCTCAATCTGGTTGCAACCCCATAGTGAACTCTTGATCCTTCACTGCAGAAATTTGTTAGCTCCAGCTAGATTAGATTTTTCACAGCTAATCTAACTGCTGTAGGGGTTTGCAGAGTGAGGACAGAGCTGTGCTATTGGATTTGTCCAATTCATTTGACTCCAGGACTATAATTGCACTTATGTCTTACAAGGCTTTTATAGCCTCAGGCTGGCCAGCCGAATAAAAAACAAATTGGCAGTGATACAGTACGAGTGAAAGGGGATGAAAGGCCCACATTATCAGTCTCCAGGCAGCGCTGTTCTGGCAGGAAGTTTCTTGGTTAATTTACAAATAAAACTTAGATTTTAGGATGGGCACACTGTCAGCTGAACAATGGGGATGTCAAGCCTGACTGTTACTTAGTAAAAGTAGCAGCCGGGCCCACTGAGGAGCAGGAATTCTTCAATCAAACAGACGACTCCTTCTGGAGCCAGCTGGCGATGTAATGCAATTAGTCGGGAAAGGAGGTCAGCCCATTAGGTATGGACCATGACAGCGTCACCAGTGGCGTGCAGCCTGGCAGCAGCAGGCGGAGTGGCCCAGGCGGAGGGACTTAGAACTCTGTCAGGACAAAAAGTGGCAGGGCCTGGGGCATTTGTCTGTAGCCTGGTGAGCCCACACAGCAGAGGGGATGGGGGCTGGCATGCGTCTGTTCCCGCCTGCTGCCCACGTGCACATCAGCCTGGCTGCTGATGGGTTTCTCATTTGAAAGTCCTCAGACTCACAAGGCAATGCCTCTGTGTCAAAACCCTCAGCCCGATCCCCACTCAGGGTGCCACGGTGTGCTGTGCTGTCCTCACAGATGCACAGCTGGTCCTGGTCCATTGGATTTGTTTCACCTACGGTGTTCTTGTTATAGGCAGGAGAGAAAGAGAGTACTTCTGCTCTTTGCTCCAGATTTACCAGCCTGTTGGCCCAGTGGTCTTAGCTCTGAGTTTTGTCATTTAGCTAATTACACTGTAATGTGTCCAGAAGTCTGAGGTGCATGACACTGAAAGCAGCTATGAGATGATGAATATTGTGTTATTAATACACAGAATACCTCCTCCTTAATTACAGAACTACCTCGCTAGAGGAAGGGAATGTTAGTGTGATACTGCCCTGCCATGCTGTCGTTCTAAGAACCCAACTGCAAGTAAAATTAGGAGAGACTTGCTTAGTGCGTATAATTAAATAACCCAACTTAGAAAGAGGAGGGTGACTAAAGTTTCAGCGATTGCTGTTTCACATCAGAGCTCACACACTGCACTATGTAGCTGTGGATCATAGGGAGTTACTGTAATGTTAGGTGCTGGCATCAGGTGGGAGCAGCACATTTCAGAAGTGTTTGGTTAAGCCTAGAATCTCCTGAGGCCGATTCTGTGCTAGGATGAGAGTTAGAAGAGTGTTAATGTTACCTTCTGCTGGTTGAAACTCCTACCAAAGTTTCAGTTAGATGCTGTCCACATTGCCCTTGGAAACCTGCCTGTCCTTGGCAATGCTGGCTGTGTTTGCACTCTGAAAGACCATCTTGTAGGGGTGTGCTATAAGGTCTTTGCATTTATTTTCTTTTTGGGACAGGGTTATAGTACGTCTTTCAGGCTTAAACTCATTATGTAGCGTAGGCTGGCCTCAAACTCATAACGATCCTCTTCCTTCAGCCTTCCAAGTGGCCAGATTATAGGCATGTGCTATCACACCCAGTGGTCTTTGTGTTTTTATTAAGAAAACAAAAGAATGAGAGAAAGGAAAGGGAGGAGAAAAGGAAAGGAAGGTGGGGAGAGAAAAAGAAAATGGATGAAAGGAAGTGCTGTTATATCTAAGATGGACTGTAGCTGTAGGAAGAGGGCTTGCCTTGCATGCACAAGGCCCTGGGTTCCATCTCCAGTACTGGAGAAAAAAGAAAAAAGTGGGTGTCGAGAAGCTGTTCAGCACTTCTTGGAGGACCCCAGGTTGTACTGATTAACTGTTCAGTGGGTTGGCTAGACTCGTGTATACCATCCCTTAGCCTTTATATCTGTGTAGGGATGGTGAGGGAGAAGCAGAAAGATGTTCTGGGTAATTTTGTTTAAAAGTCATTGACTCTGTTAAATTGTTCTGAATCGTCATGACTTATGCTCAGGCCCTACAGTTGCGTGTTCACATACAACTGAATCATGTACCCTCGCCATAGGTATAAAGCTCCAGGTGCAAGGCTCTTTTTAATAATTGACTTGCACCATCATTCCCAGAAGTGTGGGAGGGAAGAATACACAAGCATTGCAGCAAACAGCTTCCTTTGTAACCTTATAAATGGAAAAGAGGCCGTATTAGGGTCACCTTGGATTTTCCCTTTGTGATCAAGTAGTCTATAAAGAAAATAATATGTATCTGAACATGCTTCAACTACATAGTATTCTAGAGTATCCTTTTTATTTTTTAAGACAGAACTAAAAGGTTAGCTTTAACCCAGCCTTTCCATTGTACAAAGGTGCTTTTAACTCGGTCGCTTCTAATGTTCACTTGCTAGATAAGTAGTGAAGGAGCAGGAAATATTTTTTTTTACAGTTTGTTTACAGTGATGAATACACTGTCCTGCCTGCTCCACACAGCAAGCAGGAGCTGCAGGTCCCCATAGGCGTCTGAGGCCCTCACCCAGAGCCTACGCAGTGTCTTGGCTTGAGTTTGGGCCAGGCTTTCCTTTCAGTATCTAGTTTCTTCAAGTCATGCTTCCAGGCTCCTCCCATGACTGAATTTTCTCCAGCTAGTGATGGAGTTTTGGAAAGGGCATCATGCATGTGATGGAGCTGGCCCCAAAGAACTCGCAGCATGCCTTTTTTCTGAGGCCTTTCTGCTCTGGCCACTCAGAAAGGCCAGGAGTCCATTTTTTGTTCTCAGACCTTGCAACTTTTTGTGTGTAGAAAATGATAAGCCAATTAAACTGCCTGTGCAGTAGGTAGTTTTTGGTACAAGCATAACTAGCTTAGGGACAGTGCAGGTGGCTCTGGAGCAGGGGCTTAGGCCCATTCTGCATCCTGGGGAGATGGAACCTTTCCTCCCTGGGTCCTGCTTCCTCCTTATGTGATAAGAAAATGATGGTGCAGTGTCATCTTGTTTTTTACCATCACTATCATCAGAGCTAGCAAGAAGATGCAGCCAGCTGTGTGTGTTCATGCACTTGGCACACAGTAAGTGCTCTTCAAATGCCCACTGCTTAGGCCCCGTCACATGTAAGTATTATCTGTTCCTTTCCTATACAAACACAGATTTCTTTTTTTGTTTTTGTTTGTATTTTAGGCAAGGGTCTACAGGTTGTTCAGGGTCTCCCTACTAGATCGGACTCCTAGTGATCTGCCTGTTTACAGCCTCCCAAGAGCTGGGATTATAGGCATGCTCCACCACACCCAGTCTCAATTGGGGTGGAGCTGGCACGGCAGGTCCGGGGATCGAACCGCTAGTGCCTGCTCCTGCTTGCACGTGCTTTAATCCACTGAGCTATTTGGCTGGCCCTAAGATAGTTTTATATATTCTTTTTCTTAAAGGTTTGCCACAATAGTAGTTTGTTGTACATTTGTTAGCAGTTGTATTATAATAACATATTCTCTTACATTTATATTATTTTCTTTATAACCATTGAATTAAGAGGATTTAAAATGTAGTGTAATATGGAATAAAACACTTATGTTGGGCCAGAGATATAACTCAGCAACACAAATACCTGCCCGGAAAGTACAGGGTCCTGAATTTGATTTCCTGGTAAAAACAAAACAAAACAAAAACCAGTTGTGTCATTAATTGTTTAGAAACCTGCTCAGCAATATAAAGTCTGCAACTCTAATGCAAAAGTAAGACTCTACTGAAAAAATTTTGGCAAGGTCCTGACCCCATGCAGCCATAATATGATCTTGACACAAGGAGGCCTGGTCTTAGCAGCACACATACTTCATAGAGGATGTGCTGTTTGTGTAGTATGGTGCTTTTTAAAGCTAGTAGAAGACATCAATGTTGCAGCCTTGTTTTAGTAGAGGTTTTTTCATATTTTTTTCTCTTAGCATTTTGTAATTCCATTGGGAAGCTTCAACCCCTCATAAACTGCTGTCACCCCTTGACTAATAAAGCGCCAATTTGTTGTTGTAGCTCCGTCACTTGGGGAATGATGAGGTCCACATCGTCTGGTCTGAACACTCCAGGGACTACCGCAGGGGCATCATCCCGACTGCCTTTGGCGACGTTTCTATCATCATTTACCCAATGAAGAACCACATGTTCTTTATCACGATAACAAAGAAACCTGAGGTACGTCTCTCCTGCCTCACTGTCCTGATTCACAACCTTTGCGATAAAAGTCACTGTTACCGGAAAGTAGTTATTTGATTATGCTAAAGGGCACTCATCTCCAATTGGTGATCAGCTTATGTGTATCTGTGTTATGTGTGCTATACAGGAATTCAGTAGGAACTGGGATTTTCAAAGGCTCATCATGAACACAAAATTTCATATTTCATTACTTGGCCTCTGAAAGTTTTATCAAAGAAATACATGTTTTTAAAATATTTTGAGGTTTTTTTATTTTCTGTATTTAGGATAGGGCTACAGGGTCTCACTATGTAGGTCGGACTCACGGTGATTCTCCTGTTTTCAGTTTCCCAAGTACTGGTATTATAGGTGCGCACCACACACTCAGTCTCAATCACTGTCTCAGTGTACTCTGCGGCCGAACCCCGGCTGCTGTGCTCTGCCTAAGCAGGCACTTTAGTCCGCTGAGCTATCAGGCCAGCCCTTAATTTTTTTAAAGAAACATTCAAATATTAGACTTGGGGCATACTGGTTAATAATAAGAGTTGAAAGAACCCCATTAGGACACCTAGGATTTGGGGGACCTGGTGGGTGTGGAATCCCGCCTTGTGTGATGGGTGAGCATTGCTGCTGAGCCCTGACAGGACTGTAGGCATGTCCTCAAAAGGACAGGCTGTGGGCAGAGCCCATGTGACAGGCTTGACAGTCCAAGCACTGTGCCCCAGAATCAATGTACTCTGTCAATTGCTATTGATCATGGGGGTGGCTGGAACAATCTGTGGTCTCTGTCCTCTGTACTAAATTGGCTGTAGTTTCGATCATTGTCATGCCTTCAGTGGTATTGTAACAATGGATTCTATGGTGACTTATTTTTGTTTTGAAATTATTAGTGAGGTTTTTTAAAGTTTTAACATTAAATATCATCTAGTAAGCTACTCAAGAAAAAGAATGACTGTTCTTAGCTTGATATTAAATATAACCTTCATTTTCATTCCAAAGTGTTCTCTGGAGGGAGCTGAAAATTACCATTGTAAAAGCTCCCCAAGATTTAAAATAGTAGGTCACTCACTGAGATTTATTGCTCAAGTTGATATTGATAAACTAATTTAAAGTATTAAAGTTGAGAGGATTAAATGACCAGCAAAAAGTACTTCAAACAGGGCCAGGTCCAGAGTAAAAGCTGCTTCAGTGTTAGATGTTATTCTTAGTATTTTATCCCTGCATTAGTATTTTGTTATAGTTACTAACATAGAAATAAAATCAATACTGAATCTGTGTTTATCATGCATAATAATTTTCATTCAGGGTAATCGTGGATCAACTCTTGAGTCAGGAACTTCTAGCTCTTGCTGGTGTGAATGCTGACCCAAAGGGAGCCCTCTCTTCTTTCCACAGGGGAAGAGGCCAAGATTCATAGTAAAGGTTGGGATGGTATCTGCTTCAGACCTCTGCGCGTTCGTGTGTGTGTGTGTGTGTGTGTGTGTGTGTGTGTATAGTTTTCAGTCTTGTAATACAGGAAGATGGTTTAGTACCTCACATTTGTATTTGTCCCTGAGGACCACTGCTTTTACTTTTAGAATTAAACAGAATACTATAATTTTAGAGATCCAATAAATTTAGTACCTTGTACCTTTCAAAACTAGACATTTAGTATTGATTGACTGGATTTATCAGTTTTTTTGGGGGGATGGCCCTCTAAAATGTCATTTGAAGTCTTAAGAGTGTTACCTGTATTTTTAAGTAAATGAAGATCATAAGAAGTATTTTGGTTTGCTGTGAAGTGTTAAAAATGATTTTTAAAAAAAATAGTGTAAGATGCATAAAAGCAATCCTAAGCATACCTTTAAAGTTTCTGACAAAACATGTAAGTTTTCTAAATTGGATCATAAATTCTTACAAGATAAATTGGACAAATTGCTCTTAATATTTTAATTCAAAAATTTTAAAGGAAAGAAGAGACTAATAAGCACTGAAAATTTAGGGTTATCCCTGCACTTAAAGTACAGACCATTACAATGTAATAAAATTAATCCAGACATTTCCAGGGCAAGTGTGGCTGACCTTTTGTTCACCAACCACTGACCCCAGGGTGAATGCAAGAGGCTTTCGGAGGGAAAGTCTGTTTGTTTGGCTTGGGTCCCTGGTATTTAAATTGCATTCCCTAATCAAATGAAAAGGCTGTCCTCTCTATCAGGTTACAGAATCCATGGCAACATTTGGCCTTTTATATCCATAATGTTAGCCTTTTTTGTTTGCATCTAAGTAGAGACACCTGGAGCAATGTTAACATTAACCGATTTAGCATTAATAGCTTCATTATATAAGAATTTCTGATCAGATAGCTGTTACTTTTGTTATATTGCTTCAGCTTGTATTGTTGTCATTTTTTATCTCCCTGCTTGGCAACCAGGCAATGATTTGCAAATTTTTTTGTCTTGATTAATTAAGCAATATAATTATCAGTAACCATGATGCAGTCTTTGCTCAACAAAGCTTCTGAGCGAAAACAATGGTAAGTCTGTTAGTATGAATGCATTCCACGCGTCCCAGATGCACGAGGATATTATGGACAATGAGGGGAAAGGCCGCCTGCAAGCGAGGACAAAGAGTGCCACGCAGACTCGACACACTGCACATACCGCCAGGGACATGTTGCGGGCTCCCTGGGACACAGACGCCTCGTTAGATTACAGCTAGTCAGCAGAGATTAATTCTCAGCCATTTGGTACAATAATTTACCCATTCCCCAGTCTTTTAACTAGAGTTCCTTGCTATGGAAGTGAAGGCTTTGTAATCAAAAGGTTGATTTAACCTTGTCTACTTTTAGGGGTTGCCACCAAAATCATTACTTTTGCCTAGAGATTGTAATGATGCAGCTGCTTGAAGTTGAGGGACAGTCCTTTTAGGAGGACAGTTTCTGTATAAGTTTCAGAAATTGTAGGAGGAGTCAGAGGCATTCTTTTAGCACCTATATATTTCATCTGAATATAGTATGACTCTGATCTAAATCCATTTATTTTACTGATCTCTGGGAAGCCATACTTTTCTAGGATAATTTTAATCCTTTTTTAGGAGGAAAAAGAAAACCTCATCAGTACACAAAAGTCCCGCTCATTGGATAGAGTCATGCATATTCAAATCGTACTTTCATTCACTCGGCCTCATTAATAGCGTATGTAATAATGTAGGGCTATTTGTAATACAAGCTCTCAGGCAGCATTGCTTCCAAGTCCTTTGAAATTTAACATATTTCGCTTTTTCATTCCATACACCTCCCTTAAATATACAAATTATGTGCCTGGCAGAATCTGCCTCCTGTTAATAACACACAGCATTTGTGACATGGTGTGTTGAAGTGTGGGTGTGCTACACACACAAAAGCCTTGAGCCTGAGGGCCCTGTTCACTTCTTGAGTGTTGTACTGAACTTCTTGTTTATTATTGGATTGAAAAAAATCAGTGTATATTCATGGTTTATTTCATCATTTCATTGTTATTTTCAAAATAAACCCATCTTCATAAATAGTGTCACACTAGTCCATTAGTCAGAGAAAAGGAATGTATTATTATTATCAGGCTTATGGTCCAGCTCACTTTGTTTCATTCTTTTACCTCCAAGTCAGTAGTCCAGGCAATGCTTGCACATAGGGCAGTACGTGAGTGACTGTAGGGGCCAGAGAAGACACCCCATGTTCCTCACAGTGTGACTCCCAGAGCCCCCATGCAACTATGGGACCACTGTGTCGTTCTTCTGGTCTTTCAACCACTGGAAAGTGACACTGTGACAAAGCAACATTGTGTTTGCCTTTATGGATCTGTGAAGGTTTATTTCAAATCTGGGATGGACTTATCTCCAGTCACATTTGTGATCAAGAGGTATTCTGAAGCATCCTTGACTGGCAGCAGTTGAGACAAGCAGAAGTTTTTGTGAAGGGTTTCCTTGTTGCTTTCATAGATAGAAAGCATGTTAATGTTCTCTGAGCACCTCCTCCTTAGCCCTGGTTGATGTGGTGTAGGAGAGGAATCGATGAGATGCATAAGATGAAGAGAGGAGACTGTCGATCCAGTCACAGTTGTGTGTATAGGATGTCTCGGGGAGGGGTCTCTGTCCCTGTCCTAGGGACCAGGGTCTCTTGGTGTCCTGTCAGAGAATGTAAGTGCTGCCTCTGGGTCTTTTCCTCCCAGATGCTTTGTCACTAGGGCTCTGTCAAGGTGGTATCTCACTCTCTGTTGCTCTAGTAGCACTCTGTGTGTGTGTGTGTGTGTGTCTGTGTGTCTGTGTGTCTGTGTGTCTGTGTGTGTGTCTGTGTGTGTGTGTCTGTGTGTGTGTGTGTGTGTGTGTGTACAGGATGTTCAGGATGACATCTAGCTTAGGACCTTGTCTGGAACAGGTTTCTGAAATGCTGACAGGAGCTGGTATTCTAGAAGTCCTAGAACATTGTCACTGATGAGGCCAGGAGGAGCCAGCAGTATGCCTGGGTAGAAAAGGGTCATGTCCTTAGAGCAGCCTGTGACAGAAGGAGTGTGTTTAATTTTAATTATAGCCTTTTGAATTTCTTCCTTTTTATTCTACATGTGCAGCTTTCTTGAACATTTATGCCTATCCTAACCAAATAACCCCTTTGGAGATTGAATCCTGTACTTGAAATGCTCAGGAAAAGTGAGCTAACTTTTGTATACACAAAAAATCATTTGTTTAGAGAAGATCCCTGAGAATACCAAGCAACCAGAACTTACTAGGATGACATTAAATGGGTTGCTGTGATGTGGTCTGTTTGGTGATTTATTCTATTATTCTATTACTAGCATTATGTTTAGTCAATGAATAGCACTGAGAATTATGTGAAAAGGCATCTGTCATTTGCAAATGTGATGTTAAAATCAAATTTTTTTTCTAACTCATTGACACTTCTAATTAGAGGAATTCCCTAGATACAAGGGATTTATATTATTTCCTTTGTCCAGTTTATTTTTATTTTTTGAAAGACTGAGTCAGCTACA